CACAAAGCCCAGAGAACCAACCACTGTCTCAAGGCACCACCTAGGGACATGCAGGTCCAGCCACAGCAGGGGTCAGGACACTCTCCTTTTGATTTTCCCCATGGTGCCCTCTTCCATGCCCAGCACACAGCAGGAGTTGTTGAACTGCCACCATCAGCAATGGCCTGAGAGAGGTTCTCAGAAAAGTTAAGAATAAGAGAGGGAGCAGAAAGGAAGTAACTGGCTCTCTCCCCAACAACATGAGTTCCCCTGGGACTCTCTCCAGTTACAGGAACATGGAGCTCCCATGAAAACCGACCTACCCTTCTCCCTAGGCAGGCAGGGTGAAGATCAGGCTCAGGACTGACTCAGAGTCATTTGCAAACCCTGGCCCTTAGTAGTCAGGGCTCTGTGAACGACAAACACAGGGCCCACCTCAGTTCTGGCTACTGCACACAATCTGCAGTTTTACACTGGTCCTCGTAAAGGGAATCTGGTGTCTTAAGAGTGTTGTCTTCTTGTTGTTTTAAGAAAGAGTGAACAAAGCAATGGGAACACAGGCCTGAACTACCCGCCAGGCAGGGAGAACTGTGGGAGAGGCTACCAGGGCCTCTGTATCAGGCCAGAACTGAGAAAATGGGCAGTCGGCAGAAGCCAAGCACATCAAACACACATTCTGGAAATCACAGGACCGGCAGACATGAAGGTGCTCCTGGTCATGGGGAAGCAGGGAGCCGGACTGAGGGCTGAGCATGCGTCTGCACTGTTTCCTGAAGCGAGCCGTGCCAGGGGCAAGCAGAGAGACAGGCCTGGAGGACAGAGTGTGGGCAGGGTTAGGGGCAGCACGGGCAATACTGTGGAGGCAGTGTGGGGTGGACAGGTGAGGATGGACACAAACAGCACACACCAGTGACAGAATGGTGGGTGAGGATGGATGGCTGTGAAGAGGGCAGGCCACCCTATATTCCCTAGGACCCCCACCCTCTACATCTGAGGCACAGGGCTCCTTGCTGGCTCTGTCCATGCTGACAGTGGGGTTTAGTGGGCATCACCTGTATCCATAGACACCAGCTCCCAAGACTCCTGTCCTTGTCCCCTCTGCTGATACAGACTGCAGACCTGGGCTCCATTGGGCCTTTCACCCTAACCAAGCCAGGCTTCCGGGCCGTGTCCGCTGCCTCCCCGTGCTGACCTTGGCCTGCCCCACTCCTCAGCTACGTGACTGACCTGAACCTACTTCTCTGGCTTACAGGGCGGCTGCTCTGTGCATCTGGTATAGGCGCTGTCAGAAGACCCTGACCTCTGACCTCTGAGGCCCTGCCCGGCTTTGACATTCTCAAGTGACATAGAGTGTGACAGGCAACAGCAAGGCTCTTCATCTAATAGATCTTGCGACTGACACATCCTGAGAGTCAATTAAGCCAGATCAAAGGACGGCCAAAGCCATTTAGGAACGGCCCTGTTCCATGCATCCTTCACTGAGGTACCTCCAGCAGGAACAGAAACACAGAAACACAATCTGTACAATCGGCCTCAGATCTGGTCTGGGAAGAGACTCTACCACACTCTCTTTTAGCTCGGCCCCAACAAGTAGGAAGCCCTGCCTGCTCTCAGCTTCATTTTCTTTTAGGGAGGAAAGGGCCCCTGTCAAGCCTGATGGTGTCTGTGAAGATGGAGGCACCTGCCTGAAGCCTGGGCTGAGAGCACACAGCGCTATGAGGAGAAGCCCAATTGCTCACACATGGACCCATGGGCAGACACCTGCACCAGCTAGCCTGCAGGGTAGAACTAGAGATTCTACTCAACTCTGCCATTAGACATGGGCACACAGAAATCACTGTCAGCCCCCTAAAGGTTATCCTGTTTTCTCACGTCACTTTTTCCCTGGACAGGAAGTTTCAATATGCAGTATATGGGCCAGTTCCAGGAGACACACGGGAAGCAGTTATTGCGATGGGAAAACAGCTACATCAGATGCTATCTCTCCCTCCCTCCCCTCTCCATCTCAGCTTGGTCAGCCTAGGGTGCCCTTGTGACCTTGCTAAGAGGAGCTGGATGTCATGGCTGGCTACTGTGGCCTCAGGGGCCGATCCCAAAGCTTTGACCGAATGTGACAGGCTTCAGGTCTAGGACAGACAGCACAAGGTTGTAAGTCAGAACAGTTCAGACAGTGAAGCTGGGTTTTAGGAAGGAGCTGCTATCAAGTGGCAAGCTACTTATGTCCACCTGATAATTCCCACGGCACTGCCTACACCTCTTGTGAGGCCACACTCCAGCCAGAAAGTCGGGCTAAAAACCGAGACTGATGACACACCCCAGGACCCGGGCTTCTCACTCTATGAGGTACTACTACCCAGTTCATGCACTTCCTTCACTGATGACCTGAAGGACTACAGCGAGGAAGAGGCCAGGCTGTGCAAATACTTTACTACCCTGAGGCAAATCAACAGAGGCCCGTGTCTAAGGAAGCTGGGCTTGTCATCCGGGGAGCAGGTTGGAATTCGGAGGTCTTGACTCCAGGGCCTACACGGTTCCTGCCCTGCCATCTGATCTCTAACAGCTCCCTAGTCAAAGTGGCTGCTCTGGAAAGGTAACTCTGACTGAGAGCAAGTACTAATACCCTGTTCTCGGACAGGTCATGACCGAGAGCAAGTACTAATACCCTGTCCTCGCACAGGTCATGACTGAGAGCAAGTACTAATACCCTGTCCTCGGACAGGTCGTGACTGAGAGCAAGTACTAATACCCTGTCCTCGGACAGGTCATGACCGAGAGCAAGTACTAATACCCTGTCCTCGGACAGGTCATGACCGAGAGCAAGTACTAATACCCTGACCTCGGACAGGTCATGAAGCAGGAGGAGCAGCGGGGACCGTGCCTTCGAGCTACCAGCAAATGCCTTGACTTGCAATCTGCTTGCTGTTGCCTAAGGTCTAGACCTTTCTCCAGGAACCAGAGGAACTGATGAAAAGGTCACCACCACCTCTGAAGAGAAGTGCTGTTTTAGGGCTCTGAGTATTTTCCTGTCACAGACATTTCTTTAGGGATGCAGAGGGTGAAGAGGCTGGTGGATCTGAAAGCATGCTTCTCCACACATTGGGGTTGGACAAAGATGGGGTAAGGAACACAGTGGCTTCAGTTAACAGGAGTAATTCTGAAACCACTGAAAGTATATCTGAACTTACTTATTCTGCAAACTTCCAGAACAAATAGTTGTTAGGTTAGCACCATAAGCATGCCATGCTCAGCACCTAGTGCCTGAATTCTGCAGCAGCTCCTTAATAGCTCTAGGGTTACACATGTGCTCACGTGGGGCTAGCAAGGCCATCAGTGCCAAGTGATGCCATGGGCTCCTCTGAGGCTCCTGGATCCCTCCTTCCTGTTCCTCAAAGCATAATTAATTCTGTGGGCTGGCAGCCAAGCCCATCTGCAATCTGAGCTGGGGGGTGGGTGGGTGGAGGAGAGGAGCAGCTGCAGAGCTGGTACAGGTCCTCCCCAGCCCAGAAGCATATGACAGGGTCACATGGCACATGGACACTGAAAAAGGCAGTCCTCTCTCCTGAGAACTTTGACATGGTGAATGAATCCTCGTGACCACAAGTATCTAGCAGAAAATCACAGAGCAAGGGTCTACTTCTACTGTGTTTTCTCAGTACCTTCAAGAGTCAAAAATTGGAACTGGGTGTTTCTCCCAATTAATTTGAGTTAACTAAGGGCAAGAGGCTCTTAGGTAGGACAATCTGCTGAGCTGGAGACTGGAGGACCTAGAGGTCAGCTCCTCTCATTTCTGCTCTGGAGAGCGAAAAACACAGGGACTTAGCAAAGACAACCCACTGGGAGGTGATGGAGACACAGCACACATACAGATCCTCAGTCTCTTTTCAACACACATGCTGTAGGGCCTAAACCAAGCCTACAAGGGGATGCTCAAGTGTGCTGCTCTCCCGGGAAATCACAGAACACCGGCCCCAGAGGAGAGGAACCCTAACCACTGTGTCATCCTTCCCCAGCTTTTCTGAAACTGATTTCAGTGCAGTGAGCTGGAACAGATGCCCATGCTCTCCAGGAATCTGTAAACCAGGAAGGCCTCAGCAGGGTGCTGGAGCCAAGGCAGGGTAGTCCTGCCCCCTCAGCTCTCTGCTGGACCTCAAAGTGAGAGCTACCATGGCACCCAGAGTCCATCCTTCCCCTGAGAACCACCTGACCTGGGAAGAGCCCTGGTGCCGATCCTGCCTACCCAGGAGTGTCCTATCACCATCCTGGAAGGAGAGGAAGGCCCGCTGAATGAGATGAGTGACATGGGAGTGAGGGTGCCTTTCAGCATTTTATCACCTCTCCGACACCCACTCAATGACCAGAGCTCTAAGCCCATCAACTGCTGATGCCAACTACTGTGTCACCAGCTTGTTACTGCACAGGTGAGACCATGGACAGATTAAGCTATGGGCCAGCATGCAAGCCTCCAAATGTTAGTAAGGAATGTGACTGAACAGTCGCCACCTGCCTCATCCCACATGGAACAGCCTTACACACATCCTAGCTGACCCAGGCAGCACCCTATCTGGATGCCCAAGAGTGACAGATTTAGAATTAGTTGTGGCCCAGCTACAACCACGAAAGGACAGAGGCCATGACAACGTGCTGTACTTGGACGTAGGCCACATGGAGCTGACTGCCAAGAATCACTCCAGGCAGCCTACAGGGTCTTCCAAGTATCATTCAAAGGTGTTGGAACCCTGTTTTGCAGGTAGGAAAATGTAAGCTCAAAAGTAAGCTGCCACAGCCAGACCTGCTCCTCCCTGCCTCCCAAGTGGGCGAGTGGCAGATGGCGACTCTGAGCATGTCTTGGAAGCACAAGAAGCACTGTGAATCCATGAGGTAAATGAACAACCGCAACATTGCCCGTGTCACCCCAGACCCAGCACCCCCTCACCAAAACGAAGCGACAAATGAAGTCGCGCGAGCACCCTCCCCACAATCGGTGTGCCGCCCTGGCACAGTAGGGAGAACAGGGACTATACCGTCCGGCGTCGCCTGCTGATGGGGTTTTTTACATTTGACGTAATCGTGGTCAATCGGAGTGGCTGTGTAAGGTGGGGATGTCAGACCTGGGCCAGAGGAGGAGGGGAGGGAGGCTCCGGGGCCAGGCAGTGTCCCAGCTGAAGAGTGGGAGTCCTCATCCACCAGGCAGGCCTTCTCCCTGTGGAACAGAGGTACAAATAAAAGTCCACATTATAATGAAATAAATGTTCCACATACCTCAAGTGGTCCCTGTCTCATTTGGTTAGTGCTCCAGGGAGGACTTCCGTATCCCTCCCACAGCTTCCAGCCTCTAACTGGATGCTGCCCAACCTTTCTGGCCAGGGTCTAACAGCATCTGGTCTCAGGCTCAGGAGACCTTGCAGGGGAAGTGACCAGCATTTCTCAGCATGCACACCAAATCAAAGCCTTTCTGCAAGATGACACAACACAGCCAACCCCTGACAAGTGAGCAGACACAAGTACACACTAGTGCAAGCTTACACGTGTACAAGGGTTTCTGCTACAACACTGGTGAGGGAAAGGCAGAAATATTCTTCATGTTTGTGGAAATAATCACCTAAAACACAGAGTATCCATGCTCTGGTAGGAGGTAGCGGAAAAGCGCCAAGCAGAGATGCACGGAAGGCGCCCAGACCCACTGATGAAGGAAAGAGCAAAGCAGAACAACACCTTCAGTGGCTCTTTTTTTTTTTTTTCTTCAAGACAGGGTTTCTCTGTGTATTTTTGGTGCCTTTCCTGGAACTCACTCTGTAGCCCAGGCTGGCCCCGAACTCACAGAGATCCGCCTGCCTCTGCCTCCTGAGTACTGGGATTAAAAGCGTGCGCCACAACCGCCCAGCTCAGTTGTTCTTTTCTTTGTTGAAGTTTGAGAGAGGAAGACAAACTGGAGAATCAACCTATAAGCTGCCACAACTGTCCAGAGGAGGGAGACGGAGAAAAGAAGCCTGCTGTTTGAGTTAGGGTCTAAGAAAGCAGGTCTGAGAAGTTCAATATGCAGTCTGGCATTTGGTAATGGTTCTTCAGAGAGCAAGTGAGAAATCCGTGTCGAGGAAAGCATTACACTTTTGGCCAGTCAGCATTTGAAATAAAAAGGGATAGAAAGTTACCCTTTTCTGAAATCTAACCCACAAAAGCAAGCAACTGAAAAGAATCCTCCACAAGCGGCTGGGCCTTGTTTTTATTTAATTAAAGGAACCTGGAGGGGACCTTGGTGGTAGAACACTTGTCTAGTATGCACAACACCCTGGGTTCAACCCTTTAGTACCACAAAAGCAAAATAAACCTGCAACTGCATGTGTTCAAATAACTGTATACAAATGTATAGAAAACGAGCTGAGAAACCAGACTGAATAATGGCCAATTCTGGTGACAAGAGGAGACCTGTCACATTTTAGTCTATGTATGTATGTCTGATTTCCTGTAAGTACAATGTATTTACACATTAGCTGCATAATTATTTTTTTCAGGACAGAATTATGATCAATGAAAATTTCATTGTACTCTGGAAACCCCTTATGACGAGAAAACACCAATCTATAATTTTTGAGCACACTATACCAACCAAGTGACCTGCCACCCAGGTGCTCATCTCTCCCACACGTAGAGGAAACACTGCTTGTGCAGGGTTGAGCACTGTTCACTGGAGGCACAGGTCATGTGACTACCTACAGCCATGAACAGACAGTTCTTAGGGTCAGGCCTGGAAGCAGGTTTTTCAGCTGGGTCCTGCGTAGTCCTCAGCCAGGTGGGGCCTCAGAGACGGGACGGGTTGAGTGGAGCAGCAAGGCAGAAACACCACAGCAAAAGGTGTCTGGCCCCAAGACAACTGAGTCACGGAAGAGTGGTCAGTCCCCAAGCAACAGAGGAGACTGCACCAAGGTCGCTTCTCGGCTCTCGGCACTGAGGGAAGAGCCTCACTGGCACTCCAGAGAACGGGCCATACATTGGGCCTCAGAGGTCACCCCGTTGGAGTCTTGGGTAAGGGGAAAAAGTAAAACATAGTATTTTACTATGTTCTGCACAGGACAAAGCTTTGTTCACTGGAGCAGGAGGGAGGGGCTGGCTTCTCCCCAGGACTCACCCTTGCAGGTAGGACAACACCAGCCAATGCCACAGAGAAGAGAGCAGGGACAGCAGATTCAACAGAAAGAGCTCGGCCCTGCAATCAGACTCTGAGTTCCAGTTTATTCAGTGGCCCTCCTCTGAACTACATGATAGGAGATGAGACACCCAGGTCCCTGCAAGCCAGTACTCACTTTTCGGAAGCTTTGGGTGTATTCTTCTCCTCGCCCCTGGCAAAAGGTCCTTCTGCTGCCTCCTTCATAAAGCTGACCAGGACCTCTGCACCAACCCCAGAATCAGGTTTGCCCAGGAGCTTCAGGATGGAAGCATGGAGCCGGAAGTACACCTAGAACAACACCTCAGGCATAATAAGCAGCCTTTTCCAATCCAAGGCCTGTTCCACAGATGAAGCAGCCATACTGTAAACAGGCTGCTGCCCCGAGAGACAAGCCACCACATATTGCCTGTCTTTTTAGCTTTTAACTCCCCTAGGACAAATAAGCCCTGAAAATTAAAATGGATACTGTCAACATCTTAACTTAAACATGTACCCAGTAATCCAAGCATATGGTGGTGGGATAATAATAGTAGCAGCCAGTGGGCACTGCCTCAAGATCTGATGTAGCTCAGGCTAGCCTAAATCTTGCGATGTAGCTGAGGGTGGTCTGGAACTCTCGATCCCTCTCTCAACGTCCCAAGTGCAATATTTTTTTGTTTGATCATAAAATTGGCAAATACTAAAAGGAGAGTCTTAGACTGGCTAGAGAACCAAGATGCTCACCCATGTCATCCTCTAGAGTAACTGGAGGCCATGGTCAGAATCGTAAGTAGTCTACAACTCCACCTTTAAACCTCAGCCCCTGGAAACACTCCGAAGAGCTCTCTGATATAAGACTACTTCTTCACACGATCCCAGCAAAGTCCACAAAGAAGCTATGTAGGGAAGCAAACGCTCTGAGCAACTGGAAGGCATGGGGCAGGCATACCCCATACCTTCTAGTACATCTTTTTCAATGAAAATATGAGCCGAAAAAGCCTAGGACAGTGTTCCTACCTACACAGAGATAGGAAAAAACACCTTCAAGACCTTCAAAACCTTCAAGAACATAGCTAACTAATAGTACAGATTATGAGGTGGGGACACCAGGGTCAATGGGGACTTTCATGTTTTATATTCTTTTATGACTGTCTTTAAAAACAAATGAATACGGGGCTGGAGAGATGGCTCAGAGGTTAAGAGCACTGGCTGCTCTTCCAAAGGTCCCGAGTTCAATTCCCAGCAACCACATGGTGGCTCACAACAATCTACAATGAGATCTGGTGCCCTCTTCTGGCCTGCAAGAATACATGGAGGCAGAAACACTGTATACATAAATAAATAAATCTTTAAAACAAAAACCAAAAAACAAATGAATACATATAGAATCTATAATCAGGGAAAACAAAAAAACCTGTGCCCACAGAAACAAGAAAACAAGAAACGGATTCTGTTCAAATTCTAGGACGCTCACTAACTGTGTGGCACTGGCCGAGGGTCAGTGCGTGCAGCCTCAAAAAGGGTAAAGCTATCACAGGCAGGGGCTCGGGAAGCTTTGAGTACTGGGTGGAGAAAAGCAGCACTGGATTTCCACTCATGTTCTTTATTTCCTCCCTCCAAAAGTGCTCGCTGGTCAGGACTGCTGAGAACAATAGTGTGAGCCTTCATCTAACGTATTCAAGAAATCATAAAAGTGAATCCCGGCAATAAAGCACTGCTCTAGTTTTGAGTGCAACGGGAAAACAAAACACGACACAACATTCTGTGATCCAAGCAGCCTGCTTTTATCCTGGCCTAACCCTCGAAGCTGGCTGGCCCGAGCACAGGCGGGCCTCACCTGGCCTTCGGTGCCTATCTGCATTCTCCCCAGAGCGACCACCCTCCTCCTGCCTGCCTCGTGACAAGACTGGATGCCTCTGCAGCCACAGCACTCAGTGCCTGCCATATGCAGTGAGAATGTGTGTGCTGCAGAGGAAGAAGGCGGTTTCCTCTGGGAAAGGAAAACAAAATGCTCATTCTCTCCAAAAGGATGGCAAGCCCTCTTAGGGAAAGAGAACAGGCTGCTTGAATTTAACTGAACATGAAGATGCTGAGCACAGAGACGTTACCAGTGTGGGGTTGCCAGGGAGTCACTGGGACTGTGAGCCCCATCCCCAGGGAGACAGAGCGAGCAGACCCTCCTGCCCTGCCTTCCTACCCTGGACCTGCAGTGTTACCTCCAGGGCTTCCATGGCCAGCTCAGGTGGGTTGTGGTAGTGGATCTTCTTAGGGTAACGGGCGGCCTCCTCGTGCAAGTAGTGGCCAGCCTGCCGGTAGTGCAGCAGGTACACAGTCGGTGGCTGCTGCTGCTTCTCAGCCACCTTGCCCAGCATGTAGTGAATGAGCCACTCCTCCTCATCGCCGTCACCCTCACAGTGGGCTGCAGAGGTGAAACAGTGCCTGGCTGTCTCCAGCATGCTGTCGCGCCGATCCTCCATCTATAACAAGATCACAAGCCTGCAGACTGGCCGTAGGTGCGATGCCCGAGCCCGCCCAGGGATCATGGTTTTCTTGGATGAAGTCAGCTGACTTGTTCACAGACTTATGATCCTCTCAGTGAACCTGAGACCCAGAACTGTTGTCGCCATTTCACAGCTGTAGACAATGAGATGTGGAGCTTGGGAGTTCCTTAAAAGCATGCAAGGTCCAGAGCTGGACTTAAAATTCAGGTCATTTCTCAACGACTCAAAGGTCCTTTCTTTTAGCTTCTTCCTGTAGAACCTAACAGTAAAGTTTATGAAGTTCCTCTTGATCTCTTCCTAGGTTCCTAACTATAGCCTGCATGGCTATGGTAAAGACTGGTACCCATCATCCATCAATATAAGGAGGAAGAAGGCTGATGTGACTATGCCTCATCTGTCTTAAAACATCAGGCATCCTTCCCAGGATGGACCCCCACCTGCAGGGAGTGAGCACCTTGCTCCCACCCTCTCAGTGGGGCAGGTAGGCAGAGCTCAAGAGGACACTCATGCAGCTCTTGCCCCACAGCACTGGAGAGAACCGCACCTAGTATCCAATCCCCAATTCACAGCACTGGACAGTGTGAACCTCTGGGATGAAACAGAGCTTTCTGCCTCTCCTCCTTACCCTTTTAAAGAGACATACTGCATTTGTGAAGGCAGATTCCCGAGCTCCATACAAGACCCACTGACTTGGAGTCTGTATTTAGCTAGAGCCTCTAGACAACCTTTCACAAAGGCAACAGCCGTGATGGAGGGTCAATTTGCAAGAGGCCTTCCAACTTAGTTGCTTTTTCTACTTCTTGGCAGCTGCCAAGCACACATGTTCCTTTATTCGAGAACTCCCAGGTTGGGGACAGAGTGGAGAATGTTGTACTTTGGGCACCCCAGGTCGCTGGCCCCTCTTCACTGTGTCCTGGCTTGATGGCAGGAGGCTGTAGCCTCTTCCCAGCTCACCGCAGGGACCAGAGCGGGGTGGTGGTGGCCCACAAGCACTGGTCTTCAACAAGGGGAGCTGCCGGGCCATAAGCACGTGCTCTGTCTGGCATGACACATCTGCCCTACTTCTGTTTGCTTGGCAGAGGCTTACTTTTGTGAACATCCTAGAGCAGTAGCTGACTTCGGGGGCCATGTGCTACCCAGATGCTCTGTCAGTCATTTTCCAAAAAGAAACTGGCCACCAAGAACTACAAACCCAACCCTGAATGAAATATGACAAAAAGGACCACAGGGCCAAGCATGGCACAGGGAGTCGATCACATTGCCTCTAGAATGGGCCCTACAGCAAATCTAAGAAAAAGGCAGCTGCTTAAATGTAGTTCTGTTGGAACTGCTTAACAGCTCTGTGGCATTGCCAACGTCCCTGTTTTTGCTAAGTTCAGCAGGTACAATATCCCACTCAGGAAGAAAAGGGACAGTCACCAAGGGTGCATGTCTAGAAACTGCTACATAGCACCGTTCTGGCTTGCCATCCTCAGAACAGAATGGACACCCTTTCTCATGGTACTTCAGTCTCCCCATGTGTTGGGTCCCTGTGCTGAGGCTTACGAAATGGCTGAGGCAGGCATCAGGACTGACCTCTCCCAATAGCACCTAGGAGAAGGAATGGTCAGCTTCATATGTAGCCTGAAGCACAGAAAGAATGTTAAGTCACTCCCTACAAGTCACTTGGTTAGGAAGTTCTGGTCCCTGGCTCTTTCTCCATGCCTTAGAACTGACATCACAGGGTATGTTTCCACTTCCCCATATCACCTCTGGCAAGTCTGCAGACAAAAACTAAAGAACGCAGCAGCTCAGACACAGCAGACATGTTCAACAGCCCATTTCTCAGACATGGTAAGTCCAGGCACAGCCCAAGCAAGCAGGGGACTGCATCCTAGGAAGCTGCCTCCCCAGAGGTGGAAAGAGTCCAGGGAACACGGGGCAGTCCTGCAGGGCAGTATGTGCCCCAGATAAGGAGGCCAAACCTCTCCCTTCCTCCAGGACTCCTGCATCCCTGGGCCTTCCATCCCTCTGGCTGCCCTGATACTTAAGGGAGGCAGGCGACTTGAGAGCAGTCTCAGGACCTGAGCTGCTTGGGATAACAGTGGCCATCAGGCAAACACCAAGGTCATCCTGAGGCTGTGATCCTAAATAGAAGAGAACCAGACTAGGGGATAAGGTGGGGGGATGTCAAGTCTACCTGGGGGAGCTGTACAAAAGGTGCAGAGAAGGTTCTTCCTTGCTCTCAGGACGTATATTTCCTGGAAAGTTTAATTGTGAAATCTCACCAGGATCAGTACAAGGAGATTAGGGGAGGGATCCTAAGATCCAGGCCACCTTACTTCACTGTGTGTACTCAGAGGACAATGGTGTTCCCATGTTACAAGGCGTCAAGTTCTATAGCAGTGAGTGGAGGGGGATAGGAGGCCGTTTAAATACCAACAAAACGTAGTAAGGAGTTTCTGTACTGTTGGCTACAACAGTCAGGTTACACATTTAAAAGGACTCGACTAGACCCCTGGAGAGTGACCTGAGTAGAGCTCAACAGTGGAGGCTGAGAGGAAGGGAAGCCACACACTGCATTTAGTACAACAGTATCTAGGCTGAAAGAAAAAACCTAGTAGGCAAATCCTCCTAGATTTTTCTAAATATACACACCTCGTGTGTGACAAGGTTCTGTCTGTCTCCTTCTGAAGTCCAGAGAGACACACATTGAATAACAACTTCTTAAAGGTGACGTTTAGTTGAGAGCCATGTGGGCACTTCTCCATCCTGTTCTTGTCAGGGCTCAGCCCCCTGTGAAGCACTTGACATCTGCCTTCTGTCAGCAGTGCGCTGGACCCTCTAAGGCCACTTCGCTCACATACATCCTCTGCCACTGGGGTCAAGCCTATCACCCCTATGATGTCACATTCAAACCATTGGAGAAAAAATTTAAGAAGATAAAGGAAAACATAATAACCACCCAGGAGCTTCGAAAGCACAGCTTCTGTCCGAGGATCCCTTATGTCCTTTTCACAGGCTCCACAGTCAAACAAGAGAGCCAGCCAAACATGGACATCACTGCTCTCCCTCACTGCAGAGCTCATGCGATCTGGACACACAAGGAGGGAAAACGCTGGGACCACACTGCTGAGTCTAGAACGCAGAGGCCAACTCCTGAACTGAGGGACTGTGTAGCTCCCGGAGCACAGAGGAAGAAGAAGGCAGCAGCGGCGGCGGCCACATTACTGGTGAGGCCTCCAACAGCAGCAGTAAGGTCCAGTGGTGTGCTCCCAGCCGGCCACGCTCCCAGGCAAGTGTGACAATTCGGAGCCTTTATGCACGAGGATTGAGAACTAACACAGCTGGCCACTGCCTGTAAGGCCCAAGGAATTCAAACTCCCAGGGCAAGAGAGGTAACTGCCAAACAGGTTTATAAAAGCAGCTTTCTAAATGTATGCTGCAAAGGTAAAAAGTGTGTGTGACAAAATCATACAACTCATAGAAAGATGAGCTCCCCAAGAGTCAACTTAATCTTTGTTCACTGAAGAAGAGCACATTCTTGGCATTGTCAAAGTTCTAGTTACATAAGATTCAGGAGACATTTCGCTATTAATTTTTTCATAAAGCCCAATGACATCTTTTATTCACTACATATTTCAATAACTCGGTCCTCATTAGGTAGGTTCACTTCAGGACTTTCCCAGGGCGGAGGTCCTCAAACGGTTGCCTTGTATTCACTGTAGATTGTTAGGGATGCGACCCGGATTATAGAACTAGCGATCCCTATGGTGAAACTGACTGCTGCATTCTCCATCCTGTGTTCCAACAGCATCTGAAGAGTGCAAAGGCTCTGAGGGCCTGTGTCCCACTCTGCAGGGTCCTGCAGGCAGCAGGACCTTGGCCCAGTGTCAGCCCCCACGGAGACAGCACTTTCTTTCCGAGGCCTGCAGTGGCCTGCCTGCCAAGAGGCTCCTTTAGCCCTCAGCAGCCTCCCAGCGGTGTGACAGAGCCATCACCCTGCCTGGGTTTTAATCACAGACGATCAGTGCAAAACCTGAAACCAGGCACTCCCTACTGACTGCTCAGCTCCTTCCACACCTGCTCTCCTCTGAGACCTTGCTGAGCTGCCACACCTGGCTGCCCTGCCAGCCTAACCTTGAGGGTAGCTCTGTGGTAGTGTGTGCTCACCAGGCACAGGACCTGGCTCTGATCCCCAGCACCATTCACCCCTCCTTAAACAGAGCCCAAACCTCTCAGCATGATTCCTGCATTTCCATCTGAAGGAAACAACGATGCTCTTGCTGAGCAGTGACTGCAGGTCAGATCCTGTATCTTGCACTAGACGAAGGCTGCACACCAGAAACTGAAATCCCTAACGACAGGTCAAGCCTTTTACCATGGCCTCCCAAGTCCTTCTGAGCAAATAGGGAAGAGCTGCCTACCTCAGATGGCCAACATCCCTTCTCTACCATAACTCAGCTACACTCAAGGTGATGACCAGTCGGTCAGTCACAATAGGGTACCTCTGAAATTCCTGCCCATGGACTAGGTACCCAAAGCCCAAGGACAAAGCTATCGCTGACAGGATACATGTATGTGAGGGTAAGAACAAAGAACAGGAGGGACCCAAGGCAGTCTAGGTAGACAGGGGACGGCAGGCCCACGGGCAGCACCCTCCTCACCTGCTGTATAAGCTCCGGAGGCAGCTCGGCTCTCCACTGCTTCAGCTGGCGGGAAGCAAATGAGTGCAAGGCATAGGACATGGTGCCATACTCAATCCACAAGGACAAATTAGAGCTGTCAATCTCAAGGGCCCTCCGGAAGCAGTTCAGAACAGGTGTGGCGTGTTTCCAGATGGGTCCGTCACTCTTCAGCTCATTTGAGTTCAGCTTGTCCTGAATTCGGCTGGCCCGGGCCAGAGCCATGCCTGCCCAGGAATCGAACCTACGGTAGTGACAAAAGTACCAGTTAAAAACACTACTGTCAGTGAGTTCCAGGAAAGGTGCAAAGCTACACAGAGAAACCCTGTCTCGAAAAACAACAACAACAAAAAACAACACTACTGTCCCCAGGGCATCATGGAAGTCCAGCTTGGCTATTCCACACAGTCAGGATCATGACCTAGAATAGCTTTGTCATGGCCTTGATCATAACATATATTGCATCATCACCTACAGTTAAGAAGGTCTACCTCATGAGGAAGAGGTATGGTGTGCTAAGAGACAAGATGTTTCTTCTATGTCCCTTAGCACTTTGCAAGCACTCAACGGCTGCTCTAATAGCTGGGCTTTGGGGCTCTGCTCCCCAGCAGTAAGGGCTGCCCGGGGTACTGCTCTGGTGGAAAGGAACGGGACACTTGCGAGAGTGTCCTCAAAAGAGGGGTCCAGCTGAGGCCACAGAGACTTCAGTGTCCTTTCCTCCTGAGGCTCCTGCTCTCACCAAGCCAGAGCTCAGGGAACAAAGAAGAGTGGGGCCCCAGCCACTCACTTCATTCCTGTTCTCTCTGGAGCCTATGCTCCCAGTTCAGACCCCAGCAGTAAAATGAACAAGGTGACAGCTGAGGGCTGGGACCTGATGGTTCTGAGATCACTTGAAGGAAGCTGAGGCAGGAACACACAAGATTCTGGGACAAGATGAGTAGCCATGGAGACACCACACCAGGACCAAGGTGATTTCGGAGTTCCTGGAGAGCTGTTGTCCAGTGCTAGTCCAGAAAACAGAAAACACAGCAACCCAAAGGGCTGATGCTGCCCCCTCCCTACACCATCAGCTCAGCCCACCACCCCTTAAATTCCCCGGTGTGAGTTTACACTGGCTAACTGCCATCCAGAGCTGCCCGATCATCCCAAGAGATGGCAGAGGCAAACCAACCCAAGAGGCTCCAAAGACCCAGTGGTAACAGGAGAGCCAGGAAGAAGACACCCCCCTCGTGTGAGAGGCTTCTGATAGCAGCCTTTCTTCCTCAGGGCCTGGGGCCCAAAGTCACCAGCAGTTCTTCCCGGCTCTGCTCTGGCTACTCTTTAGAAGGGAGTGGGGGAAGGGCTTAAGTGGTAAATTCTTCACCAGGGCCAATTTCATAGCACGGATTTCTTTTCAATATCCAACGACTCTGGGAGAAGTTTCCTTGAGGAAAGGAGACATGCTATGACAGCGCCTGTGTGGTGGCATGAGAACCACTTCCTCCACACACGGAGTAACCAAAGCAGAGTGGCATCACCATGAAAACTAAGAAGCAGGCCAGAGCGATGGCTCGGTAGTTAGGAGCACTGGCTGCTCTCCGGAACCTGGGTTCAGTTCCCAGCACCCACATGGCAGCTCACAGCCATCTGTAACTACAGTTCCAGGGGACCTGGTGCTCTCTTTTGGCCTCCACATGCACAGACATACATGTAACACACAGACATACATGCAGGCAAAACAACCATATGCATTTAAAAAAAAAAAAAAACCTACAGAGAAAAACAAGCATGCTCCTGTCCTAGTAAGAGTGACCCCTCCTGCTGTTCAGTGTCAGACTCAGGTACAGTACCACACAGCCCGTTCTCAGGGAGTGCGGGCAGACCTGCAGGGATGCCTATGGCTCAGTGATAGTGTGACCCCAGGAGGAAGAAGGATCCAGAGGCCACATTCTGGGCTCTCATTTGTGCAGAGCAGGTTCAGTCCTGGTGCTGGGCTCAGAACTGTTTCCTGCTCAGCTCAACTAGGTCTTAGTCCCACCTCCATCCCAGAATGCCTATCTAATTTGGTACCTCTTCCAGTTCAGAAAAAAAAGCAGGAAAGCTCAATGAAAGGGAAGGAAAAGTGCCAGTTGTCATCACAGGAACCTCCAACAGTACAATCAGGATGCTACTGTCCACCCAACCATCTATCATGGCTTCACCCCTCTCAAAAGGCTCAAGGAAGAATATAAATATCCAACTTGTACTCCAGCTAGCAGCAAGGAGCAAACAGAACTCCAGTCTCCACTGCTATCTGCCTGTGGAGCTCAGAATAAAAGCAGCTCTAGGCTGAGACTTAGCACCAAGCTGACAAAACCCTTTCTACACTGGGGCCAGTCCTCAGAGAAGACATCTCAGCACATACTGGGCTGGATCTAACAGGCTGACATCCTGTAAACAGATGATGTAGAGACGAGAGCAGTGGTTCTCAACCTGTGGGTTGTGACCCCTTTGGGAGTCACATATCAGATCTCCTGCATATCAGATATTTATATTACATTCATAACAGTAGTAAAATTAGTTATGAAGCAGCAATGAAGTAATTGTCTGGTGGGGGGTCACCCACACCACGAGAACTGTATTAAGGGTCGCAGCATTAGGAAGGCTGAGGACCACCAGAGTAGAGGAGGTCTACTTGGGCCTTGAGGACCCTCACCCCACTGCCTGTGGACCTGCAAGTGAGAGGAGCCAGGCCAAGGGCCTGCCGTCATTACTCCCACGTTTTAGATGGGGCAGCAGGTGATGGACAATGTCATCCACAGCACAAGCTCAGCCAGCGTAAGCGCAGGTCTGTGCTATCACAACTGAAGCAGTTGTGATACCCAAGACAGCCAGGGCTTTAAGCACATGGCTCCCTGACAGGAGGAAACTGCAGAATGAGCAAAAAGGGGCCTTCTCAGGGTGACGACGTCTTACAAACTTGCTTCTCTGTTCGGAGCCCAGCCCCTTCTTCCCTTGCCCAGCTAGGCTGCAGAAAGGTGAATTCTGTGGTTTCCTAGGGCAGGGTAGTGCTGTGCTCACCCATGGTCCAAGGGCAGCCACTATGGTAGCCCTAAGTACTTCGGGTGAGCTTGCCTGCAGGGCTTTACCTTCAGACACAGACTGGGTACAGGGTAACCTCATCTGACCACGCCTACCTTCCAGACAGCCCCTTTAGTCAAGTGTACTGAGCTTCAGGAGCAGAGCAGAGCCCTTCAGAATGCTTGGTTCTGAAAATTCATTACATGTTAGTTAGGAGGAAGCTCAGTGGGGCTCTACAGAGGAAGCCCAAACCTCGTGCACACGGGCTCCTACACACACCATCAGGACAAACCTCACTGTCAATGATGGAACATCCCAGCACGGTCAAAAACAAACAAAACCCCCTCGGGCTCCAGCTTTTCTAGTAGTCCTCTTTAGTTACATAGTTTATTCCTCATATGTGTTCTTCGGGTATGTATGTGTACCACGTGTGTGCCTGGGGCCCATGGAGGTCAGAAGAGGGTGTGAGATCCTACAACTGGAGTGACAGTGGCCATGTGGGTGCTCTTAACCGCTGAACCATCTCTCACCCCTGGTACGCCCTCTCAAGCCCCCAAAGCAATCCTCACTAAAGAGCCTGTCTACCCCAAACATACATCAGTTGTCCTGGTTCCTGCTACCAGGAAAGGAAGCAGGACAAAACAGTATGGGGCTGTGTACTATTTCCCTGTCCTGTACACCAGGATCCAAAAGGTCACCTTGTACCTTTGCTGACCCCAGTATATCTCCCATAGGACTCTGGAAAAGAAGTCTTCTGTGATCGAGAATGCTAAGCCATTTCTTTTCCATTATCTTGCCACAGACAAGAAACTTTCAACTGGCTCACTGGAGAACTGGCAGGCCTCCTGGCAGCAGCCTGGCTCCACACAATGTCACTCACCTGTTGGGGCAGATGCAAATATCATGCATGTAGAACTTGATGGCTTTAGACTGCTCCTTGTTTTTGAAATGATAATCAGCCAGGAGGTAGTAGAGCTCATTCACCACTGGAGGGGTGGGATCTGCCCCTTCTGGAAGGCAGGGTACCTGGCACGAGAGAGGGCAAGTTCAGGAGAGGTGGAGTCAAGTATGCGGGTGTAAACTATCAACCCGTCTTCCACTGATCCCTAGCAGGTGGTGCTGAGCAGACAGGAAGCAGTGCTTGAGAGGAAGCCCCACCACCCCATGTTCCCTGAGACCCACCTCAGTTGAGGTTCCCTCAATGTAGGCAGAGACTTTGTCCATGCTCAGAGTTGGCTTCTCTGTGCGGGGCACGATGGTAGCAATTCTTTTCAGGAGGTTGGCCAAGTCAGCAGAAACAGTGCTTGTCTTGTAGCTATCAAATTCAGGTAGGGTCTTGGGCTTAAAATACTCAAACATAAACAGGGCATCCTCCCATATGAGGTCCACCTGGAAAAAGACAGAGGCAGACTCAAAGTACATGAAGGCTAAGAAACAAGGAGAAGCTCCTCTGTAAGAGCACACTGTCCTCAACGCAAAGAGCTCACAGCATGCGGTGAACGCAAAGCATGTTCCATCTCTGCTTCTTTAATCTGCAATGGCCAGGTAAGCCTCTATTCCAGCTGCCGAAAAAGCCTAAGTCTTCTGTTTTTCGGGTTGGTATAAGTCTCAAGCTTCCTGAGGATATCACTGCACAAAATTATGTGTTAAGGTAATTACTCTCAAACAGAAATACTTAACTTTCTTAACGAATGAGAGTAAATGATAAAGATAATTCTATGTTAAATATTAAGTTTTTAGTACTGTTAGTCAAGAAATTATTTTTTTAAATCTTATTATACTTTATGTGTATATGTATGTGCCACACATGTGCAGGTGTCCACATAGGACAGCAGAGATCCCCTGGAGAAGAAATTAAAGGTGACAGCCACCTGTTGTTCTAGATGCTGGAAACCAAACTCAGGTCCTCTGCAAGAGCACCAAGTGTCCTTAACTGTTGAGCCATCTCTCCACTCACCTCAATCCTGGATCTCATGTAATCCAGGCTGGCCATGAACTCACTATGAACTTCTAACGATCCTGCCCCCACCTCCCAAGGGCATGCTCCACCACACCTGGTTTTATATGATTTTATAGTGATAAAACCCAGGGCTTCATCTATGCTACACAAGCACTCTACCAACCAAAATACATCTCCTGCCCAAGAAATGGCTTTTAGGACTCATGCCTGGCTAGGGCTGGTCTCTAAAAAAACAAATGTTAGAAACTGAAGGTTATGATCTGTGAAACCATGTGACTTAGCCAGATGTATGTGCATGGGGGGGGGGGGGTCAATCATAACTGGGAAGCTTAGGCTCCACACCTCTGGGCCAGAGTGGATGTGCCATCCTAAGGACCCTATACTTTAAGGTATAGAATATCTAAGACTGGAGGATGGCTGAAGATATTAGCCATGACATGATGTACCCAATAGTGCTCTGGAAAAAAACAAATGAGAAAGGAAATATCTATGTAGTTATGTGTGTAAACCACACTGCAAATAAACCTAAGAGTGACAACCTGCCAATGCTGCATTACAAATCCATTATGAACGACATCTTGTAGGAAACCCTTTCCTTTGATCAACCATCGACCATCTTAGTGCACTGTGTGTAACAATCTCATGTCCTGTAAGGAGCTCTCCTCTTCCTGAGAGCCGCCCCTCCCTGGGCCTGGGGTAGCAGCCTTACCTGCTGGGCCGAGTGTTCCTCCAGGTATCTGGCCTTGCTCTTCTTGCTGGGGAAGCTGTACAGGCAATAGAAGCACTGCTCCAGGGCAGTCTCCAGCTCCTCCTTGTAGGGGTGAGTGTCTTCAGAGGCAGACGCAGCAAGCTCCTTCTGGAGAACCTGCACCTGTGGCAGGTGGGAAGAGATGCCTGAGGACACAGTCTACAGGCTCAGCCTCCATATCAGAACAAGATCCCAGGGAGATCACCACTTTATCAACTACTTTAACCGAGGAGGTAATGGCTGGGGTCCCTGTGTGGCTAGATTCCAAACACTTGCTTCCTAGAAAAGATCTGTTATCTCTACAGAACTGCTCTGGGTAGATCTGGCAGTAGGCTCCTTCAAGGCATGTGAGCAGCCTGGCTTTAGCACACCTAGCCAGCATCTGCCAACATCATTAGCTACTCTATGCCCAAGCAACATCTCTACCCATTTGCTGAGTGTACGTTCACTGAGCAGCTTCTTTTATGAGGCACAGTTTGACACAGACTCTATTTTTTAAAAGTTCAGATTCCAATGGAGGAAATGGTGTTATAAACAACCAGCTATGAGTCCCATGGGGGCTGAGAAAAATCCCCCTCCAATAAAAACATCACTGAGAATCAGAAGACATAGGAACAAGATGTCTTTCTTATACATTGTGAGTATGTATTGCTCTGATTGGTTGATAAAAATGCTGATTGGCCAGTAGCCAGAAAGGAAATATAGGCATGGCAAGCAAATGAGGAGAATTCTGGGAAGAAGAAGAGCTGAGTAAGGAGTCGCCAGCCAGACACAGAGGAAACAAGATGACAAGGCAGAACTGAGAAAAGGTACCAAGCCATGTGACTAAACATAAAAAAAAATTATGGGTTAAATTAAGTATAAGAGCTAGAAAGTAATAAGCCTAAGCTAATGGTTATAATTAATATAAGCTTCTGAGTGATTATTCTATAAGTGGGCTGTGGACTGTGAGGGCCTGGCAGGACTGGGGAAACTTTCCAACTACAACAATATAGCAAACCAGTTATATCTCTGGCTATGAAATGTTATGACTAAATTTATACCCAACTTTTGATAAACATACATTCCTTCCAAGCATCCATAAATTTTTGCCAAAACTAGATGAAAAGTAAATCTATCTATGTATCTATGTATCTATCTATATCTCTATCTATGTCTCTATCTATCTATCTATCTATCTATCTATCTATCTATCTATCTATCTATCTATCTATCTATCTATCTATCTATCATCCATCCATTTATCCATCTACGCAAGCATTTTACCCACTGACCACTTCATAAGCTCTGAGTGCTCGCTCGCTCGCTCTCACTCTCTCCAGCGCTCTCACTCGCTCACTCTCACTCTCTCTCCTTCCGCGTCTCAGGTCTCTCTGTATAGCCCTGGAACTGGCTATGTAGAGCAGGCTGGCCTCTAAGTCACAGAGATCTGCTTGCCTCTCACTTCCAAGAGGTGGAATTAAAGGTATGTGCTCTTTTTATTTAAAGGGAGGGAAAAAGCAGAAACAATCTTAGCAATAAAAAAAAGAAAATTATTAGAAGTACTTAGAGATGTTTTAAATAATACACTGAACACCAGAACCACTTTATGTTATTTTTGTTTGTTTGTTTTGGTTTCTTGAGACAAGGTTTCTCTGTGTAGCTCTGTCGGTCCTGGAACTTGCTCTGTAGACCAGACTAGCTTCAAACTCAGAGATCTGCCTGCCTCTGCCTGATTAAAGGTGTGTACACCACCACCAGGCACTTTACATTAGTGGGACACTATTCCAAAAAGTATGACTTAAGAAAAATCTATAATCAATAAATAATCAGCAGTAGTAGTAGCTAAAATTTACAGACACAAAGACCAGATTCGGGGTGGGGAAAAGGAAATGATCTAGATACTGTCAGGTTTTATTTCTGAGTTAAGAACAGTGTACTCGAAGTTGGGGTGAAGGTAGGAGTCAGGGTGGAGGGTAGGGGTAGGAGATGAATATGATCAAACCATACTCTATGAAATCCTCAAAAAAGTAATACAAATGTCATAAAAAGAATATATTTACATTTAAAATGCCTGAAAAAATCAAAAAGAAGAAAACCATTTTGTAGCCAGGCATTTAAACCTGAAATCCCAGCTACTCAGAGCCTGGGAAGGAGAGGTCAAAAGTTCAAGGCTTGCCTGAGTTAAGTTCAAGTTGTCAGTCTGAGCAACTCAGAGAAAACCTGTCTCAAATAAACACACAACAGGGCTGGGGCACACCTCGGTGGCACAGGACTTGCCTACTACGCACAGGGCCCGTATCCATCTCCAGCACCATTACAAAAAAGAAACTACTTGATAATACAAAGAGGAAGACATTCAACTTTCATCTCCAAAAGCTCTGCTGCAAATCAGTCCTATCTCTGGCTATGAAATGTTATGACTAAGTTTATACCCAGCTTTTGATAAACATACATTCCTAGCTAAGCCCTCCCACTATGTGTGCCTAAGGAACACGCTGAGGTGCCGGGTTGGTGGCAGGCTGGTAGAGGGAGCAGTCAGAGAACTCTTACCTGATCTACTTAACTTATGTGCATCTGCCCTTTCTTTATTCCTCACTGTCCCTGTCCAGAACCCCAGAACCCAAGCTGCACAGGATGTGGCAAAAAGCACTCAACCTCATCAATAACGGTAGAGTGAGTGTTACAAAGAGAAAGAACAAAGGGATCCTCTCAGATCGGCGTCAGTGTTTAAGTCTCTATGTATACGGGTCTGGCAGCGGGTCAGGGGAGACAGCTCAGTATATACAGTGCTTGCTACACTGACATGCCAAGGCCTTAAGTTTGATCCCCAGAACTCACATTAACAAGTGGGGTGTGGTGGTGTGTACTTGTCAGTCCCAGCACTGGAGACACAACCAGGTGGGCCTGGAGCTATCCAGCCAGCCTAATGAGGCACAGCACACGAGGAAAAACAACACCTGATGTTGTCACCATTGTCCCCACCTCTATATACAGACACAGACACCCACACATCCTGCAGATACACGAGCATGTGTACATATGCACACCTACACACAAAAAAAAAACCCTAAAAACAATTATTTTTAACAATTTGAAAACAACCTACACACACACACAAACTAAAACAATTATTTTTTTAAAGACTTTTTTTTTTAAGATTTATTTATTTCTTATGTATACAGTGTTCTGTCTACACGTATCCCTGCAGGCCAGAAGAGGGCACCAGATCTCACTATAGATGGTTGTGAGCCACCATGTGGTTGCTGGGAATTGAACGCAGGACCTCTGGAAGAACAGTCAGTGCTCTTAACCTCTGAGCCATCTCTCCAGCCCCTAAAACAATTATTTTTAACAATTTGAAAACACACGTTTCTGGTGGTGTTTGGCTAGTTTCGTTTCATTCTTAGTTTTTTGAGACAGGCTCTCATTAGAGCCCTGACTGGACTTGAAATTCACATCAGTTCTCTTGTCTCAGTCACCCAAATGTTGAGATTATAGGGATAAGTCACTACACTCAGAGAAAATATGGTGTCAAAAAACTATGTTGTGGATGTGGTGGGATAGCCCAGTGGAGGGAGAGGCAGACAACAGTGTTTGTTTGGTTTTGGTGTTTGGAGTCAGGGTATTCTTGTGTCCTGACAGGTCTATGATTTGATTTGATTCAATTTTTTTCTTTTTGAGTCTTGCTATGTGGCTCAAGCTGGCCTGGAACTAACTACATACTCTAGGCTGATCCTGACTTCACGATCCATCCCCTTTTTTAGCTTTCTTGGGGCTGAGATCACAGACTTGCATCACTATGCCTTCTAACAGTTTTTGTTTTTGTTTTTGTTGTTATTTGGTTGATTTCTGGGACAGGGTCTCGCTCTGTAGAGTAGGATGGCCTCATGCTCAACTCAATTCTCCTGTCACAGTTTTTGAACACTAGCCATGTGGCACTATGCTCAAGTAAGCAAGGTTTCGGGTTTTGCAGGCTGGGGTTGAGCTCAGGGCCTTTCACATGGTGGATAAGCATTCAGCCACTATGCTACGTCCTCAGCCTGAACATTTGGGGGTTCTGAAACAAAGTCTATTTCTGCCCAAGCTGGCCTCAAACTCCAAATCCTCCTGCCTCTGCATTCCAAGTGCTGGAATTCCATAGTATACCACCTGGCTGGGCATTCTTTTTATAAACATGTGCACATGCACCCAGAACACAAATTGGTGGTAGATGTTACCATCATACATCCCCCAAATGATTTAAAAAACAAACAAACAAACAAAAACACCTTAATACCATCATTAGGGGATTTTTTTTTAAATTATGGAAACAAGTATTTACAGAGAAAATGATATGCAATGTCTAAGATTTACTTAAAAGTAAGAGATGGGATAGGGACGGCACGGGAGTGACCATGTATCACAATAATGACTTAACGCTCAGTATTTGGAACTATACTGCTCTTTCTATTTTAATATATATTTGGAATTTTCCACACTAGAAGTTAAAATAGTTTATGTATTCATACAATAGTATCCAACAAAGCAATTAAAACAAACCAGATTTACTTCTACCAATGTGAATATACTTGTGTACTGAAATGAATAAAGGCAAGAAGTTAAATACTATATATTTTCTTACATAGTTTTAAAAGGTGGTCTGGTAATATGGCTTAGCAGGTAAGGGAACTTGCCACCAAGCCTGGAAAACTGAGTTCAATCCTCAGAACCCACAAGGTGGGAGAAGAGAACCAAGCCTTAAAAGTTGTCTTTTGACCTCCATACATGCAACGTGGTCCATGTGCTGGCTCTCTGTCTCTCTTCTGTTTCTCCACATCACTCTCTGCCTGTCTCTGTGCCTCTCTTACACACATACACACACACACACACACACACACACACACACAACTTTTTAAAAAATTTTGGAATATTAAAATTCCATCAATTATATATTGTTCACTAATAGGTAGATATGTAATAATTTAGCCTAAAACCTGCTTAATGACAGACATAATGTCATCTTTTTTAATCAGAAGGCACATTTCCAGCAAATATAGATTATTAGTATGCACACAATCTGAGCACATAGCACACAACGTAAGAGAGAACCATCCAGAAAATAGTAGCTTACAGGTGAGAGACTACCTGAGCAAAATGTAGAGGAATAGGTAAAAATTCCTCAACCAAAACACAACACCAGAAAGACTACTAATTCAAGACAAGATACAACCTTACAGGATGTCTTTCAGAGAACATCTGCACTCCATCCAAGGAGAAACAACAATTCAAACAAAAGGATGTTAGCCTCAAAGCACTCTCAAGACACAATCCTTGTAGGGTAATAGTGGCATACACCCATTATCTCAGCATTCAGGAGGCAGAGGCAAGAGGATCAGGAATTCAAGGTCATCCTTGGCTACAACAGCAAGTTTTCGGTCAACTTGGACTACATGAATGAAACCTTGTCTCAAAAAAGACAATCCTTTATGTCAGACTATGGTGGTATTTTATTTGTACTGAAATGTGATTTTCATTGTATGTTAATAAATAAAGTTGCCCAGGGGTCAGAGCTATTAGAGCCATAGCAAGACCATGGTGGTGGTGGTGGTGGTGGTGGTGGTGGTGGTGGCGGTGGCGGTGGCGGTGGCGGTGGCGGCGGCGGCAGCACATGCCTTTAATCCCAGCACTTGGTAGAAGAGCTAGGTAGATCTCTGTGTGTTCAGGGATACAGCCAGCATTGGAGACATACGCCTTTAAGACCTGGAGGGCGGTACTTACAGGCAGTGACAAGGCAGTCATGTGTTTGAGTTTACAACCAATGAGAAGGCAGAACAGAAAGACTATTTAAAGACAGACACACAGGAAGTAGCTGTCTTTTGGGGAAGCTAGGAGCACTGCAGGAGGTAAGATTTTAGCTCTGAGCTCTGACCTCTCAGCTTTCTCTTTTACATTGGTTCTGTGTTTCTTATTTTAATAAGACGGTTGGTTACATCTACATCAGACCATATACCTGGATAAAAAATTATTTATGCTCCTAACTCCCACAGTACCTAGAATGATGAGTGCTCAGTCAGCACTTCTGGGAAAGTGAATGAAGAAGTTATTCTTACATTCACGCAATCGTTCAAGAAACTGGGCAGAAGTCTCTGTCAGCCACGGCTCACATCCCTAGAGATGCTTCAGACTGCAAGACAAAAGGTCTTGTTTGACCTCAGCCCTGCCACTGAACAGGGGAGAGAGACACAAACACCAGCTACAAGGTGCCAGGCAGCAGGTGGCACAGGGTAGACAGAATGGGGAAAGCCTCTTGGAAAAGGTGGGAAGAAAAGTCAGTCATGTAGGATCCAAGGAAAGTAATTTGCTAGGGAGTCTGAGGAATCTCAGTGGGTCCTGAGTAAGAAAACTAGGAACTGTAAGCAAAACACAACAGTAACTCATCATTTCTCTTTCAATTCATCTGGCTTATGAAATTCAGCATCCAAGAGACACAGCCCAAGAAAAACTAGGAAGAGGACAATCCACTGGCCCTTTGGCCTACTCTTCCCCCTCACTTCACTCCCCAACACAGCCAGCCTACAAAGGTATCTGTTCTTCTCCTTCTTGTGCGTGTGTGCGTGTATTATGAGTATCTGCATGTGTATGGTTAACACTTGTGTGCATGAGTATGTGTGTACATGTGTGCTACTGTGTACGGAAGCCACGGGCTGACACTGGGAGTCCTCCTCAGTTACTTTCTACATTATTCACTGAGGCAGACAGGCGACTCTCTCAACTGAACCTAGAGCATGGCCGTACAGCTGGTCTAGCTCTCCAACTTTCTCTGGGGAGCCTGTCTCTGTCTCCAAGCACTGAAATTACAGGCAGGCTGCCATGCCTGAGGGCACTTACACAGTGCGCTGGCTGCTCTTATGTCAAGCTGACACAAGCTGGAGTCATCAGAAAAGAGGGAGACTCAGGTGAGAAAATGTCTCCATATGATCCGGATGTAAGGCATTTTCTTAATTAGTGATTGGTCGGGGAGGGCCCAGCACATTGTGGGTGGTGCCACCACTGGGCTGGTGGTTCTGGGTTCTCTAAGAAAGCAGGCTGAGCAAGCCATGTGGAGCAAGCCGTTAAGTAGCACCCGTCCATGGCTTCTATATCAGTTCCTGCCTCCAGGTTTCTGCCCTGCTTAAGTTCCTGTCCTGTGGGAGCCCGTTCTCGGGTTCCTCGTGGCTTTACTCAGCAGGTCCACATGGAGGATGATTAGGACCACGGGCCTGAGTGCAGGTGTCTGAGATGGCCTGCACTTGGCTGTGCTGGGGAAGGAGGTCTTTTGCTCCACCCCTTGGCGTCTCTATAAAAACCCTGGGGCAGAGACAGTCAGTGCCCGTTGGAAAAAGTTCCAGGCCCTCTCGAGGTTATCCTTTATTTTCTATCTGTTTATCTCCACATTCTAAATCCTTCTATCTAATATTCCCTGGTGCTTGCACTCAAGAAAACTCTGGGGAGCTATGGGGTTGGTGGGTAAACGCCTCGCACCTTCCTGACTTCCTTCAGTGATGGCCATATAAGCCTTTATTTAAATAACCCCTTTCCTCCTCGACCTGCCTTTGGTCATGGTATTTCATCACAGCAACAGTAACTCTAAGACACATAGGTTCTGGGGATCTGAACTCTGGTCCTCTTCCTGTACAGCAACCACTGAGCCATCTTGCCAGCTTCTCTGCATGAGAGTGCTGCCTACGGAGACCTAGAAGCAGATGGTGTCTCTGCACTCTAGTAGAGGAATGAGGGCAGCGGCTGACTGCTGGGTAGCAGTACAGACTTTGCAAACGGTCAGGCCCTGTGCACACAAAAGCTCTGCACACCTTAGTCTCCTTCAACCCTGTGATAGTTAATCTTGGTTGTCAGCAGAACTATGTCAGGACTCAACTAAAACCCAAGCTGCTGGGCACTCCCAAGAGGGATTTCTTAATTGGATTATCTGAGGCGAGAAGACCCACCCTAAACCTACGCTATACGCGCTGGTGACAGCACACACAAAAGACCACACAAGAAGGAAGCTTCGCTTTTTGCCTGCTTGCCTTCACTCCTGCTGCAAGTTCACCTATTCTGATGCAGCAACTGGTATCATGTAAAATAAATAAATTGTGTGTGTGTGTGTGTGTGTGTGTGTGTGTGTGTGTGTGTGTGTGTGTGTATAAAGTCCAACTTCTTCCGGATTCCAACACAGACTGAAAGCTAGCAGCTCTCTAGAAATCCTCCCAGACTCCAGGACCAGATTAGGACTGCTGTGGACATCCAACCTCATGGACTGAAACAACTACTGGATTCTCAGCTTTTCCATTGTGAGACAGACATCACTGGACTACCCAGACTACAAGTCAGTCTACTAAACCTCCTTTAATATCAGTTCCATCAGATCCGTTCTTCTAGAGAGCCCTGACTCACACAAACCTGCATTTATTCAGAAATGAACCAAGTGAACAAAAGTATCTACTCTCTCTGACTTTCACAGCAGCACAGAAAAGTCAAACAACACACCCAGATGTACATTCTGGAGTGTGCCGATAGGTCGGAAGAGACTGTTGAAGGCGGGGCCAACTAGAGGGCACTGACTGGGGAGGAAGGCTGAGCACAGCGGCTACGTCCACCAAACAGAAGTTACCTAGCAGAAGACAGCAAGCTTTTTAAAGGGCAAACAACAAGGATTTTAGGCCTTGTAAGCCGTGCAGACTTTGCAGCTTCTAGTCCTTGTCAGTGCACAGTAAAAGCAGCCATAATTGCTATGTAAATAAATAAATTCCCCAATAAAATTTTATTAGCAGGTATACAGGCTGGGCTGGATGCCTTTCCCTTGGTACGTCCAAAACACTTGATGCTCCGTAATTTGTCTGGTGCTAATTGGCCTCCTACTCAGCAGAGACCAGGTTCATGCCTCGTATCTCTGATAAGCCCAGAGAGCTAACACCAATCAGTCGTAGTGGGCAAGTTCCAGAAGACCGTCCGCAGTCGCTAGAATAGCTACTAACTTAACAATCAGGACCTGTGATTTCATCAGGATGTATGTTAAAGGCTCAAAGACAATGGAGTCAACTAAATATGGACTAAAGTCTTTGAAACAATGAGCCAAAAGAAACCTTTACTCTTTTAAAGATGATTATCTCAGGTATTTTATCACAGTAATAGAGAAGTCACAGGAATCAAGTTCAGATTTTCTTCAAGGTTCAGTCATTGCATCCATGCATTAATCAACGATGCACAACGAGAACACTTACAGGCAGACAAACACCAGCCCAGGGGAACCAGCAGGGCTCCACCGCCTTTCCCACTTGCCCCAACCTCCTACTGGCAGCCCAGGACCCAGGGGATCACTCACATAGAATCGCAGCAGCGCCCCATCTGAATTGCAGCACCAGGACCTCCTGCCCAAGTATTCATGCGCTGTGTTGAGCAGCATGAGGGAGGACGGGAGCATGGGCATCTCCGACATCCCTGGAAAAGCCAGACCAACAGACAGTCAGTGCGAACAACAGCGGCAAGGGGACTGCACCCAGGTCTCTTCTTCAGGGACTTTCTCTGTCCATGACCACAGACGTTCTCTCTCCTGTTTCTGTCTTCTGAGTACTTAACTGGCTTTGGTAGGCAGTCTATGCTTATCAAAAGTCAACTGAAACCATACAGAAAATATAAATGAATACTTCATTCACAAAACAAAACAAGACAAGACTGTCCTAGCCCCTGAGAACCAATACTGGCATCTGCTGCCTATCACTCAAAGCACCTTTCTGTGCTTTTCAAAGAGAAGGACAAGTTACAATAATAGAACTCACTGAACTACCTGTACAACTTCTGAAAATTCTTATATTTAGGTTTACTTGAATACTGCAGAAGGGGAGAAAAACCATTAAATTGCCATTAAATTATTATTATTAGTTCCTTAAAAAGTCTCAGTATTCTTGAAACTCTGGGTCATACATAAGCCATTAGCAACTTTTAAGTGGCTCTTCTTTTGTGGGGGCAGGGAAGGTAAATTAAGACAGAACATATTTAAACAGAAAATACCAGAAGGCATTGCATACAGCTACACAAAGCTTAAATGTGTTTTACAAAAATTTGCTATTTGGTCAGTCTCAAACAAAAAAGTAAACATCCTCCCCCCCAAAAAATCCCTTCAGATAACAAAGGCTCAAACCATTCCAGTCTTCATGGGTTCCTTAGTTTCCTTTTTTTTTTTTTTTTTGTTATTTTGTCTTTTTTTTCCCCCCAGAGCTGAGGACCGAACCCAGGGCCTTGCACTCTACCACTAGGCTAAATTCCCGAACTCCTTAGTTTCCTTTTTCTAAGGTTTTATTTTTGTGTCTGTGTGTCTGAGTCTGCCGTGTGTGTGAGTGCCCGTGGTAGTCAGAGTGCTCTGGATCTGGGTGTCTGGGAGTTGCCTGACATGGGTCTGCTTAAAAATTATGAGTTTTCTGCCACACAAAAGCTGCCTCTCCTTCCCTAAAACTACAGTTTGAACTCCCCGTGTAGGAGGCAGCTTGCCTCAGGGCGGGACTTGCTACCTCCAGCTGTCAGCTCCTTCAAGTCCACAGCAGCTGCAGGGTCTACTACTTTAGCTGAGGTCGTCCCGT